TAAGGAAAAAAAAAAAAAAAAAAAAAGGCCCAGAATGTAGTTTAATGCAAAGGCCCTGGATTCAGTCCTCCTCAGTACAAAAACAAACAAACAAACAAAAAATAAAAACAAGAAATAATCAACTTATTTCACCTCCTCTTCCTTTCCCCTCACCCTTGTTCCCTTGGATCACTTCCTTATTGCAGAAGATCCCCTGGTCCCTTTCTATCCATCCTATATCATTCTCTTTGTATTTTGTCTCACTCAAATGAGAGATACATATTGTGTTTAGCCTTGTATTTCTGATTTATTTCGCTTGGCATTGTATTTTCCAAGTGCATTCATTTTCTTACAAATGTCTTGACTTTGTCATTCTTTATAGCCAAGTAGTCTTCTGTTGTATGTAGATAACCACATTTTACTTATCCAGTTGTCTATTGTTAAGTATACAGGCTGCTTCCAAGATAAAGCTATTACAAATTGTGCTGCTATAAACATCGGTATTGACGAAAGATACTTTGGGGATCTTTGGGAATAGTTAGTTGAGGAAGAGGGGAAGGGGAAATTTGAAGAATAAAAATATGCCAAATATAGGAACCTAATAACCCCAATTAATGTAAAGTCTATATGTCGTAACGTGTGCTAAGACAAATAATACTAACAAATGTGAAAAAGATAGGTGGAGGATAGGGGAGAGGGTAGGAAGAGAGAGAGGGTTAAAGAAAGAAACAAGCTGTAATATATGCATATAGACACTCCCAAGATGATTGTAAACTGTATGAGTTACAAACATGTAGTAATAAAAACTTTTTTAAAATGATCAATGTTTAGGAAGATAGAAATAGTATTTCCTAAATTTGACCATTTAGATTATCACACTATATCCACAAATATGTACAAGTATGTGCCAATTTTAAAAATTTTTAAAGAGAAAAGATAATTTGGGCTGAGTTGTGAAGAATGAATTTTCAAAGACAAGAAGAGGGGAATAGAAGAAAATTTAAAAAAAGTATCAAGACAACTCTTGAAGATGGTACCAAGGACTGAGATGGGGAAGATTTTGAGAGGGATAAGTTTAAGAACAGGGGAAAAAGCTCAAGAATTTCATTTTGGAGGTGTCAAACATGAGCTGTCTCAGGAATGTAAGAGAAGATACTTATCAGGCAGGTGATTCAGGTGTCTAAGGATTAGGATTAGGACTGGGATTAATTTAGAAGTCAGCAACTGTACAATTTGATTAGATCATCCACAAAATGTGTTACACTGAGAAAAGAACAGGTCTCTGAATACCTGCAACATTCAAAGGCAGAGTAGAGGGAAGACTGACAGGAAGAAGCCAGAAGGTCATTTGGCAAACCAGGGTGTATAGTGTCACAAAAGCCAAGAGAAGAATTTCCTTTTGAAAAGGAAGGATTGTCTATAATGCTCAACAGCACCAAGAAATCAAACAAGATAGAAGTAGTGCTGTCAATTTTGTCACAGTATTTCTCAACCTCTTTTAAAACTATTTCTCCTTACGGAAAATTTTTAGACTTTTTGTACCTAACTGTCCACCTCCATGCAATGTTAATACCACAATTTGTATGTCTGTTTTTATACTGTGGGAAGGGCTCAAACCATTGCAATATCTTAAAAGTTTTAAATAACCAGCCTTTACCCCCCCCCCATAGCTGACACTGTCCCATTGAGAAAGCATAACTTATTGATACACAGGTGATTGTCAGCATTGACAAGAGTAATGCTGTTGTAATGGTGAAGTGGGGAATTGAAGCCTAGGCTATGTTGGATTGGAGAGTTTGAAGTAAGGAAAAGGAACAAGGAAGGAAGGTACACTTAACAGCAGAATGGTTAAGAGAACCACCTCCGTAACCACATATGTGGGCTCTATACTTGAACCTGCTCCTACCTTAACAGGGCAGGCCACTTTATTTAATTGCATCGGTTTTCTTCTCTGTAAAATTCTAGTTGTAATTGGTCCTTGTCAGGGTTAAGTGAATTCATAAGACATGTAAACTATTTAGAATAGTGCCTAGCACATGATAAGTGTTCAGTATATGTTAGCTATTATTCTTCTTATTCACGACATTAAGCTTTGGTGGGCAAATGAAAAATAAGGTCTATAATTCATCAATATCAAAAATGGGGCTATCACTGGAGGTAGACATGAGATTGTAGGAAACAGTCGGGAGACAGAAGTATTTCACTGCTGATTTAGTAGAACCAGTTGCAAAGGGAATATTGAGGATAATAGCTTTATATCTTTAATACAGTATAACAAGAAGGAATGGCCTCAGCGCCTGGTAAAAGAATGAGACACATGTTGTCTATAGTTAATAGGCCAGAAAGAAAAAAAAAAGTATAACAATTGTTATGTCATGACTATTGCTGCTCCACAAATAACCCCAAAACATAATGGCATAAAGCAACAATGCTTTATTCTTCCCCATGAGTCTGCAGATTTTAAGTGTTTCTGATAGTGTCACCTGACATTACTTAACTGTAGGCAGTTGCTGGACTGAGGCTGAAGGGTCTAAAATGACCTCATTTTCATTCCCATGGTCCCAGTGCTGAATATTGGTTGGGCCTCT